CCCATGGGACCTGTTGGAGGGATRTGGCTATCTTGGGCTACGGGAGCCATCAGCAATCTCCCTCCAGCTGCCTGTGCCAACTGTGCCATGCAGGGGGGTCCTAGGGGATCAGGGGCAGTGTGTGCCTCCCTTGGCTCAGGCCCTGCTCAGGAAGGAGGCTGAGGCTTTGCAGGGATGCTCACCCAGGCTGCTTGGGTGGGGAACTCGATTATTTGCTCTCTAGGGATTTGGGGATGGGATTTGGATCATCCCTGATGATCATCTTCTGGTTTTAGTTTAATTTAATTAGACTTGGGGCTTCCTGAACCCTGGTGCAGACCAGCAGCAGCATCACTGGGGCTGCTGCCACCCCAGCCCCATCTGCCTGTGTCTGGGCACGAGGGCTGCTCCCATGGGGAGTGGGAACATGGCACGCCATGCGAGCTGCTGCCTGGGGTGGTGTTTCCTGTGGGCAGTGATGCTACTGGCTATGTTGAGGGCTGTGGGTGCCCCTTTCAGTCCCCACTCCCCCAGCAGTAATTTGGGTGTGGACAGAGGGTGACTGATGCCTGACTGAGGAGGCWGGGGCTGGCGCGTGGCTGTGGTGGCCCAGCTGCTATGGGGACAGGTGCTCCTGCCTTCCCCTCCCTCTCCTGTGCCCTGCCAAGAATTTGTTCCCTCTCGCCCAGGGCTGACATCACCCCTTTATCACTCTTTGCTCCAAATGTGTGCAGCATCCGGGAGGCCTTGCCCRGATGCCCTGCCCACGCAGGATTTTGCTGGGTATTTTATCCCACCTGGACCTGCATCGTGCAGGGATCCCCTCCCTGAGTTCCTCTGGGAGACTGCCATCCCCTGCAGATGCTATCAYCATCCCCACTTGGTGCCACCTTGTCCTGTGCTTCCACATGCATGAGGTGCCCACACTCCGAGGATGGAGCAGAGACGAACAGTTGAGTTGGGATCAGTGCATGCTCAGGCACCCAGCTGAGCCTCCTTGCAGTGCTGCCTGGTTAAATCCCATCCCATGCCTGGAAAGCTGGATCCAAGGTGGCAGTGAATCCTGTCAGGACTAGAAGGTCATGTTTACCTTGGCATCCCAGGCAGGGTTTGAGCTGAACCTATGGAAACAAGTGGCTCAGCACATTAATCCATTCAGCCATGGCACCCCAGCACCCCCAGTTGGTGGTGTCCTTGAGTCTGGTGACAGTGATCATCAGGTGAGGCCTCTTGGACAGGGCGGTGAGACACACAGTCCTCTGTGGGGAGGTAGGAACGATATCCTGGGATTTGGGGAGCAGCAGGGGGCACCTGGGCAATGGCCTGCAGAGCTGCAGAGGAGGTGATGCCCTTCTGAGTGCCCAAGTCAGCTGGCAAGTTCCCAGTCGATGGCCAATGGAGCATCCTTAAGGGATGCCTCTCGCTGCTGGGTGCCTGGGGCTGCTGACTGACCACGATGCCAGAAGACCCTGAGGGACGTGGTCCATCACAGGGTGCTCAGTCCTGGGACAACCCCTCTTGAGCTCCAGGGTCCTCAGTTCCCCACCAGGCTCTGGGCAGTTCTGCAGCCACAMAGGAATTCTTTAGCCAAGCCATGCTTCTCACTGCTGAGGTTTTGCACATAACCTCACCTGTTATGTGTGGCTCAGGGATGAGGATGCAGAGGTCATGGCTTGRGGATGAGGATGTACATGGGGATGAAGATGCTTGGCTTGTAGCTCAGGGATTAAGATGCCCWGCTTGCAGTTCTGGAATAAGGCTGCACAGGTCACAGCTCACGCATGAGGACTCAGCTTGCAGGTTGGGAAGGAAAGCCACTCCTTGGTTGTGTTGGGGTGAGCATCACAGACSTGTGCCAACAGCCCTTCACCACATACCATGCCAGCAGTGGGGGCAGGGGCAGGCACGTGGTTGTGGTTTAGCAGCTCCCAGCCCGGTAGCTGTGTTATTGCCCCTCCCTGCTCCAATCAGCAAACTAACACKAATTTTGAGCATGTCTGTGTGTGGTGGCCTTGGTGCTGGTGCAGGAGCAGGGTGAATACCTGAGACAGCAAAATGTCAGAGCGTGCCATGCCTGACTCACCTGAAAGAAATGCATCCACACCAAACCGGGACTGCAGCTTCAGCCGGCTCCTGGCAGAGGGAAGCACGAGTGGTGCAGGCTGGCCGGGAGCTTCCCAGCTGGCACAGCTCAGCCCCGGCRGTGGCTCTGCTGTCACGGGTGAGGAGCAGCTCTGGTCAGTGGATGCACAATGCTGTGCGGTCAGTCCTCTTTGCCCGCCCTGAATGGGTGGGAGGGCACCCATGATGATGCTGGAAGCCAAACCTTTTTGCTTGCTCAATATAAGTAAAGTTGGGGCTTGTCATGCCAAAATTCCAGTGGAGGCTTGTGTGTCTCACTGCTGGGGAAGCCACTGAAGTGTCTGGAGCTTCTGGAAAGTCCTCAGGAATTGCTGCTGACCCACTGCTCTGGCAAAAGGCTGTCCGGCCCCTGGTGCAGGAGTTTGTCCCGGCTTGCTGAGCCTGTGGAGGGCTGCTGGATTTTGCAACCTGGATTCATTTTCTCTGCTCCTGCTGCAGCAAAAGCCTCTGTCTGCTGGCCCAAGGCCCATGGGGATGTGATGGGGGGTTTCAAGGTACCCGCTCTCCTCTGCCACAGTCCCTGTGTTGGGCTTCTCCTATGCTTGGTCTGACCATGTCCCTCCCTTCAGCACGACTGTGAAACCAGTTGGCAAGCTGGGAGCTGGGGCGGGGGAACTGGCGCCGGCATATCCTCGTGATGCAGCATCCTGGGAGGGCGGCGAGCCCAGCACCAGCCTCGTCAGGGCTGCACAGACTGGACGGCTCCAGCACTCCCGGCGGGGCCGAGGCAGCGGCAATGGCTCCTGYGCCAGCTCTGGTGTGGCCAAAAGCTCATGTGCTGGTGGCCATGGGGAGTGAACATGGCCCTGGGCAAGATGCCATGCTTTGGAGCCACGTGTTATGGGCCCAGGGGGGTCATTGTCCCTCCCTGCACTCTTGGCCATGCCTGAGCACAGTGGATGGGAAGCTGAACAGTGGCGGAGACCTTAAATAACACCAAAGCATCCTTACCCTCCTGGCCCTGGGCCTCCAGCCAGCCTCCCAGGAGTTTTTTTTTGGTATGTGTGTGAATAAATTAGAACTTCCGAAACAAACCCTCTGACTGCCCCACTCCTCTAAGGCAAAACAAACCCTGCCTGACTTGGACAGCACGTGGCCATGTTTGCTCCATCCTGCCAGACTTGCCCGTAAGAAGCCAGCAAACCCGTCTCTCAGTTTTTTGGGATGTTTCCTGGGGTTTTGAGACTTAGGTGGTGATAGGAAGCTTCACGTTTGGACAGAAAGCTTTTCATGCCAGCTGTGTGGGAGCAGCGCAGGTAATCCTGATGTCAGCTGCGTCATGGTGAGGCTGTGGCCACGAGCACTTTTATTTTTAAGCCTTATCTTTATTGCAGTTTTCTCCTGCACTGCTGGGAAAGGTGAAACACACCTGATCTGTTTGTCTGCTGGCAGCATGCTCTGTTCTTGGGAGGGGGAGAGGTGGATGTGCTGCACCAGCAGCACCTGCAGCATTCCCTACCTAGTGGGGTGCTGGGAGTGATGCTGGGGCAATGCCAGGGATAATGCTGGGGTGATGCTTAGCCAGCCTGGCACACATCCATGGTGGGTGTTGGGTTTTGTGTGGAAAAGGGAGGTCCTAGCAGCCCCTTCCTGCCAGCTGAGCACCTCCGGGCTGTGTTATCAGTCTGGCCTCTGGCCAGGGGTTTAATTATAGGCTTCTGACGCAGCAATAAGTAAAACTGAGCTGGGGACAGGGACAGAGAGGCCGAGCTGATGGCTTAGCTGGCACCCCAAGAGCTCTGAGTACCTGGCCTCATCCTAGGGGTACAGAAGAGTGGGGCAGCCAGTCTCTGTTCTACCCCACAAGGCTTATGGAGGGCTGTTGGGATCTCATGGGGTCWCAGGTCACATCCTGGGGTGGCTCCAGGTGCCACACAGGGTCTGTGTTCAGGGATGTCTTCAGGAGCACCGAAAGGTACCAGGCAGGAGGGTGCAGGGCCATGGGGCTGCCCCTGCAGCACTCCCCTGTTAATGGTTAATGTGACTGGGCAGCAGTTGTGGCACGGACTCCCCGAGCTATCAGTGCTGCCATCGGCCTGGGAACAGCCTGTACCTTGCTGCCGCTGTTTGTTTGCATCCCGGCYGCTCCACCCTGGCCAGTGGCCTTGTCACAGCCCCGCAACAGCCAGCTCCCGCCCGGGCTGTCCCCCTGCCACCCAGATGGTGTCTTTGCGGGTAACCGTGTCACCTGTGGTGCCCCTGTTTGAGCCGAAACGGAGATGAGGCTGGGACTGGACGTGAAGCACCAGTAGTCTCCTGAGTAGTCCATCCCATTTGGGAGGCTCCCTTGAAGGATGCAAAACGGTGGAAGCAGACCAGAATCCTTGGAAGCAGACCAGAATCCTTTTTCTCACCCTTTTTAATATCTTCATCCCCTGGCCAGAGGGCGTGCTCTGCCTCTTGGCCACTCTTTCTGGGAGGCGAAAAGCATTAGGCAAGAGGCAAAAATCTCCACAGAGCCTTCCTCTGAATGATGCTTGATGGAACTTTTAGAGGCTATTTTGAGGGCTGATGGCCCCGCATTGCTGGAGGTTTCTGGGCTGTCCTGGTGCCTGCGGGTTTACCTGCACCTTGAATCAGGGAGGTGCTTGGGGCGATGGGGTTGCAGATAAAGGGAGTGTTTTCTTCCTCCCGCAAGAGAGAGAAAACAGCAGCTCTGTGACCTGCAAATGCCCCAGGGCAAGGTCACGTCCTGGTGAGTCAGGAGCTACAGCAGGGTGTGGAGCCAAGGTGGTCCTTAGGCAAAGGATGCTGGGGTGGATGTGTGGTTCCTGGTGTTGGTCCCTGGTGATGGAGAGGCAGAGCAAGGGGTCTTTTGGGGCTGGGGACAAGACAGTGGCTGTCACCAGTCACTGCAAGGCTCTTCCGGTCTCTTTCAGGATGTGACTCAGGCTTTGGGCAGGCGACAGCCCGGCACTTGGACATCATGGGCTTTCGTGTGTTCGCCAGCGTGCTGGACCTGCAGAGTCCTGGCGCTCAGGAGCTGCGCCGGAGCTGCTCACCGAGGCTGACACTGCTGCAGATGGACCTGACCAAGCCAGACGACATCCAGCGTGTCCTGCAGCACATCCAGGCCCACACCAACAGCACAGGTAGGAGGAGCCTTTAGTACAGAACTCCCTGGGACCGCAGCCTGCAGCCAGCATGGCAGTGCCAAGCCTCCATGTGCCCCCACAGGGGGCTGCATCCCTGCAGGCACCAGGGCAAACAGACTCTGCCAAGCTCTCTGCTTGTTCTGGGGCACACTGCGATTCCCTTGCAGGACCCCCATTAGCCTGGGGAACAGCCAGGAATCCCAGGGTGAGGGTTCYCCATTCAGGTCACCTCTTCAAGCACTGTATCTCCACAGGACTCTGGGGCCTGGTAAACAATGCTGGCTTCAATGACACCATCGCTGACGCCGAGCTCTCACCACTGTGCAAGTTCCGTGCCTGCATGGAGGTAAACTTCTTYGGCTCCCTGGAGCTCACCAAGGGGCTGCTGCCCCTGCTCCGCTCTGCYGGCGGCCGCATTGTCACCGTGAGCAGCCCAGCAGGTAAGCAGCCAGCGTGGCATCCATGGCAGCCCCAGCCCAGGCATGGCTCAAGCATCCCCATGGTGTGGTGCAGCTTCCACCCCCCAGGCATTCCAATTTTCCCAGCCAACTGGCACCAGGATGAGCTGGCAGCATTGCTGAACCCCACAGCAGGCACCAAAGCATGGGGAAACATGGGGCCTGGGGACAGACAGCCTARTCACAGGCACCATGGGCAACCCAAGCCCAGCTGCCATGCGCCTCCATTGGGGATGGCAGCCAGAGTGGGAAAATTGTCTTTCTCTCCCCCACCTTTTTTTTYCCATTAAGATACATTAATCCTCCATTGGGGATGACAATCCAGAGCTTTAGCTGGATGGGGAGGCAAAATCAATTTCCTCTTCCCTCACCACTTTTTTTTTCCCCCATTAAAACATTAATTTCAAGCTAATTTCAGTTGGTTTCTCAGCAAAATAAACCCTAAGCCATTTCCTTGAGCTGGGGCAGGAACACAGCCCTCCACAAGYCCTGCCCTTCCCCCTGACTCCCCTCTGTCCCTGCCAGAGCACCGGCTCACTCWTCCTTTCACTCCTGCCAGGTGACATGCCCTTCCCCTGCCTGGCAGCCTATGGAACCTCGAAGGCAGCCCTCAGCCTGCTCATGGACACCTTCCGCAGTGAGCTCCAACCCTGGGGCATCAAAGTCAGCCTCATTCTGCCCGGCTACTACAAAACAGGTAGGAGGGTTGGTGTCTTGCTCYGCGGGCAAAGGACAGGTATCCCAGGGAGGCAGAAGATGGAGCAATGGGATGAGCAAYTGGTGGTGAAAGCATGCAGCTGGCTGAGCATCTCCAGCCACCTCCCTGGGGACAGTGGCTACCCTGCAGTCATTGGGTTCAGGGGGATTGGAAAGAGGGTCAGGATCAAGTCCTGCCAGCAGAWCCCATACCACTAGGCTGGTCAAAGCAGCTCAAGTCACATTTATTGTAACAGAATCCCCACTACAGGCACGTCCAAGACCCCTGGTCCAGTCCCAGGCTACAAGCCACTATGGTACTACTTACCATGCTTCCCTTGTGGCAGATCTTTACCAGGGTCTGAGCAGGACCTTCCTGTGAGGCTGGGAGKTGACTAGGGCTGCTGGCACCCATGGCAGGGGGGATGGAGTGGAGGGCCCACACAGCTCACAGGGACTGTGTCCTTGCAGGGACAACATGTGACCCTGCCTTCTGGAACGTGCAGAAGCAGCAGCTGTTGGCCAGTCTGCCTCAGGAGCTGCTGCAGGCCTATGGTGAGGACTACGTAGAAGAGATCAACCAGCAGTTCATCCAGTTCATGAAGGTGGCAGTGGAGGACCTCAGYGCAGTGGTGAACAGCATCACAGATGGGCTTCTGGCTGCCAACCCAGCTGTGCGCTACTACCCAGGGCAGGGCCTTGGGATCATGTATTTCATACACCGCTACCTGCCCTATTTTGTCCGAGACTTGTTCTTGAAAGGATTCTTCATCAACCCCAAGCTGCCCCGAGCACTGCGTCGAGAGCACCACAACGACGTGAAGAAGGCCTGACCTYGGCCTGCACACAGCCTTTTCCTGGGATTGCCAGGCACACCAGCCCCCAAGCATTTGCGCAGCCAAAGGCACCACCCTCCTGCACTGTGGGGGAACAATCAGCACTAGACATTAAAAACCAAAATTTCTTTCCAAAATCAGGTAGATCTATTTTCTATTGTCCAAGAATCAACRTTTTCTAGAGACCTTGGTTTTGTATTTTTTCTAACCATGCATCCTCCAAGAGGCCCATCCCTGCCTGACTRAGCAGCTCTGCAACCACAGGCTGGGATGTACCTCCTCAGCTACTCACTACCTTCCTTACTGGTGTCAGAGCTGTTTGTCTCCATCCCCTCTTGGCTGGGTCAGGGCTGGGACCCTGTGGCCTCTGCCTCCCTGCCGCTCATTACACACTCCATGTGCTCCCGGAGAGCGCAGGGGCTGAGACCAGGCTGCCAGTGCTGCAGAGCTCTTCGTGAGATGAACTACGTGATTGTCACTTTTTAAATAAATCCATTCTTGATATTCTAGCAGGTTCTAACTGTCTCCTTCTGCAGTGCAGTGCTGTGATGCTGTTCAGGGAGGCCGAGCCTGTAGGCAGAGCTGAGCTGGGTCACAGTTGGCACCGTGCCAAGCACTGTGGCAGGAGCTTCACATGTGGCAGCAGGTGCYACAGACACTCCCAGAAAAGGGGTCAGCCTGCCAGGGCAGAGTTTGTGCTTGCTCCTTGCTCCTCCCCTGTGTCCCTGCTSGGCAAGGATGGAAGGGGTGACAGTGCCACACGTGGATAGCCCCACACACAGGGACTGTAAGCCATGCAGTTCCCYAATCTTATGCACTCCCACAAGGCTGCACCCCTTAGGCACCCATTATCTCAGCACCCAGCTGCACCCAYAGACCAGGCACTGTCATAGCTTGGGCTGGAGAGGGTGTCCTGGGCCTCATAAGGCGGTACCACCACCATGACTGTGGTAGAAACAAGCGCCCCAACTCCTGCAGGAGCTAYACCAGGCTCCACGAGCATAACTACCAGATTCCCTGTGGCTGATGGAGACTCCATCAGGGGCTGTGAGAGCAGGTGCCCGAGTAAGCAGGAAAGCAGAGTGCAGTAGGCAGATATTTATTGGTGTAGAGAGGAGGGGATCACAGGAAAACAAACTGCAGAGGTGACCACAGCACAAGCTGGGACAGGGCCGCGCTCCACTGATCCTTCCTCCCAGCAGCATCCAGCACATTTCCCACCAGCAAGGCTTCTCTGCTGCCATTGCACATCTCCCAGAATTCAAGTGCAAGTAGGAGCAGGCCAGGACAGAGCAGCAAGGAGCTGCAACACCATGCCCAGGGCTTGACTCCCACCCCAGACCATGGACAGGTAGGGCCTGGGACATCTCTGCCCCCACCAAGGTGACTAAGGTTGCTCTGTCCCCTGGCCAGCTGTGCCATACAGCTCCATGGCGGTGCCAACCCATCCTCTGCAGGGGAGGAGCCTGGATGTCTACCCTGGAGGGGTGCAGGGGTCCAGCATCATCTGCAGAGCCCAGAGGAGCCCCAGCTCTTGCATGRTTGTAACAGTAAACTGCAAGCTGTGGGTCTCCACAAGAGGAAGAAACGCAGCCAGCTTATGAAGCCTTATCCAGGGCAGCAGGGAGACTGTTGAGAGCTGTTTTTGCAGACACAGCAAGGCTGCACAAGTGCAAATACTGCCAGAGTAGGAGTACTGTGCTCCCCAAGCACTCTGGCTCTGCCCTCACATTCCCACAGGCTCCATTCCAGTACTGGCCAGGGCTGCTTGGTCTCTCCCAGGTCAGGGTTCACTATAAGGGGATGCAGGGATTGCACAGCAGCATGGGCTACGCTACAAACCACACTCTAACTACATCTCACAGGAACAACACTGAGTAGGAGGTGTGCAGAACACTGACAGAGGGCCCCCAGYCATGGCAGACCTGTCCCATTCCTCTGCAGCAGTAGGACCCCCTCAGGGCAGCCCCTTGCAGCTCAAGCTTGCTCTAGGAGCGTAAGCGCACACAGCAATTAGTACAGSAACACTGGGACTACTGCATACACAACAGGAGGCCCTCCTGCTGCACAAGGCTAARCCTGGACTGCTGGTCCCTCCGGACGTCTCACAATACACACAACTCAAATTTCAGCTTGTGAATAATTTAACTAGCAACTGTACAGTCTCTTCGTTTGATCCAGTTCCACAGATGGGACACCCCTGGAGTCTGGGCAAGGGACAACTCAGGGAGTTAGAGGTCCCTCCGGACTCCAGGGCAGGAGGGTCAGACAGGAGCAGAGCAGGATTAGAAGATGGGAATGTAGTTGTCGATCTTGGTCCTGTGCCGCTGGGCGATGCACTCTGCGATCCACACAATGTTGCGGCACTCCTGCTCCTTCAGCTTCACAAAGGCGTAGAAGACTCCRAAGTGGAATTGGTTGAGGAAGGCCAGCTTGTTCAACTTTACCTGGGAAAAGCCCAGAGCAGGACATGTCACATGTTCACCTCAGACAGGAGAACTTGATCAAAGCAAGAGTGGAGTTGCTTGGAAGGGCTTATGACTTCCCAGCAGGCTGGAAGGCTCAGCACAGGTATCCTGTTGTGCATCTCTCTAGGTCCTCAGGACAGCTCTAACCTATAGCACGTGGCTCAGGACGGGCTCTGACATTTGAAGGGGGAAATATTTATACCTCAGGTACCATGAAAGTCCTCCTTTTCCATATAATTACACTCTGGTTTTGCTATTGATGGACCAAATATCCACCAGCAGTCCCAAATGTGTCTCCCCACACTGTTTTAATCTGTCTGGATGAGAAAACAAGCCAAGCACCATGCCAGGTCCCCATTCTCATGCAGGAGCAGAGGTGCTTCTGCATGAGAAGCATGCTTCTCCTTCCCCCAAACCTTGTTCATTCACAGTACTGCTGACAGGACAGCAGACCAGCTTCCTGCCACCTGGASCTTTGCAAATGGCACATGTCAAGAAGCACCTTGGAGTTCACTCACCTCATGCTCAAAGAACCGATCTTCAAGAGTTTTGTCTCCAGGGTTGCTGCCAGCCCCTTCAAATAGCAGCTTGTACTCCTGCAGGAAAGCATTACATGAGGACATACCCCATACCCAAGTTTAGCAGCACTGGGGGGCCCCCTGTGTCAGACAGATACTCCAGCCACCCTGTCAAGTCAGAGGACAGAGAAGCTGAGAGCCCTGTCCCTTCTCTGAAACGTGCAGTTCTCAAAGGCATATTGTTGTTTTSAGCCTACAGGGAAAGGAGCATCAGGTAAAGATCCCTCCATGTACAGACTGGAGTGTTTGGCCCAGATCCCTGTGCCCACACACACTGGCTGCTCACTGAGCTCTCCAACTCCAAACAGGTCCTCAGCCATGAACAAAGGGCTTAAACACAGACAAATCCAAGTGTGTCCTCCCAAGTCAACCCCTTCAACTGAACCAGAGCTCAGGGCTGGAAATGGGGCAATATACCACTTCTCACTGAAGACACATTTCCACTCCCAAATCAGGCAAGGAGAGCCTGTCATTGCTGCCACATCAACACCTCAAGGGTTTGGTGGTAAGGGCAGTCCCCACATGTTGGGACAGGCAACATTGTCTTCCAAACACCAATGGAATGACAGCCATGACTAACAGGCCAATGATATCTCTGGCAAGCCAGGTCCTGGCCAAGCAGAGCACAGCCACCTCTCTCCCCAAGCTGTCAAGCTACAAGTTTCCTCAGATCCCCAAAAAGCTCTGATCCAGAGCAGGTCGTTGTACCATTCCCCACAGCCCTTACCCCACAGCACTCACAGGGTAGTAGTCAGCAACATTTTTCACTTGTTCGTAGTCATCTGCCCTGGCCAGCTGAGCCAGGCCCTCAGGGTAGAGCTTGCCGCAGTGTGGGAACAGCTTGGCTCGGTCCTCCTTGGACAGCTCAGTACCAAATGAGTTGATGGTGATAATGAAGGCCCTCCGGTCAGCTTCAAACTGYGGGAAAAGAGTGGTTCACCCTAGGATGCAGCATCTTTACCAGATGGCTGGCAGATATCAATGCTGCCCTGAACAAAGCCACATCAGAGGGCATCATGAGGATGCTGCCAGCATGTGCACAGCTCTCCAGTGCTCAGTCAAAGCAGACTATAAGTGTAGGCTCCYAGTACGCCCAGTAGCTGATACCTGGGGAACAGCCAGGTGAGGAAATCACCATCCCAGGCACAAGCCAAATCCTGCCCAAGTCAAGGAGTATCCCTCACCCACTGTTCCTGAGCCTGTACAGCAAACCTTGGCAACGAGACTAGCTGTGACCCAAACAGCTCTGGTAACTCTCCTGCTTGCTATCCACCTGAGAGGATGAAGATGTTGCCACAGAGACAACAATTGTGTCAGTATTCAGGGAGCCAAAGTCATATACAGGCAGTGTTCCCCAGGTCTCCCAGTGAGTAAGTTGAGTGAGAGTAGGGATGTTGAAGAGTATCTGGAGAATGTTTAACACTGGCAAACAAGCTGAACCTAAGCAGGGAGTGATGACCATCACTGTAATACCATCCAGCTCCAGGAGTTTCCAGACATACCTCCAGGATTGGGCACATGGCATCTGCTGTGGTACCTCCCAGTGTCTTGCAGAACTTGTAGAAGGACTCCAGGTAAGCCTGGAAGAGAGAGGGCAAATAAACATTCTTCTACACAGCTTTATCTCTTTCCCCTTGAGCAGAGGACAGACAGCAAGCAGGGAGGCTCCCAGACACTCTAAAACACAGCATAGGCACTCTGGCCCCATGTGAACTTGCCCACACAAGGACAGTGCTTCCCGAGGAGCCAAAGACTTGAAGGGTTGTGGCTGGGTTTGTTCAAGTGATGCATGAGCTTACTGTGGGCAAGATCCCCAGGCAGCAAAGTTAAAGCCTATTTTTCTGCTTTGAGTCATCTAACTCATTTACTGAAGTCTCACATGGTTTCCTGACCCTGCTCTGGCCTTCATAAACATGCCAAGCCACACAACCATAGCTGCAAGACCTACACTCARAAAGTAGCGCTGTGTAAGCAGAGTCAAGAGATGAGACAGGACATCTGTGAAAGAAACCAGGCATTCTCTCTGATTCTCTTTTCACACTGCGGCCACTTGGTCTCTATCCCAGCTGGAGCACTGCAGAAAACATAAGGCCAGGCACAGCTACACTGCCTCCAGGAAATGCAATCCTTTGTAGAGATGTTCCGTAATTCATCTGGAAGATGACTGTGTCTCCTAGGGGAAGCCTAAGAAGGTTGTGGATGGCTACAAGTATCATTCAGCAAAAATGTTCTCAGAATGATCATGTGATAAAACACCTCCCTGGGCAGAGAGCTGCAACCAGATTCACTTCAAAGCGATGGAATAAAAGGATGCTGAGACCACAAATCTCTTTGTCACAATAACTCTAGGACTGAAGATGGACCAAGTTGGACACACTCAGCCTCTACACTAGGAAAGCACCTGGATTACGGTGTTCTGTAAATATTTGCAACATGAACTCCCACAAAGGCTTGTTA